CACATAAAGCTATTGTATGTCAGAAAGACTTGGAATAGTGTGTACATGTTATATGGACAACAATTATGGTACTTTCCCCCCCATTTTTTTCAGCTTGACAGCCCCTAGTCACTATTCACTTTCATTGTATGGAAAAGAGCAGCATGTTACCACTGGTAGGTATTATGTAAATGAGCTTTCCTTCCTGCATTTGAGAGACAGAGGAGCTCAGGGGAGTCTGGTGAGACCTTGCCTCAGTCAGCACAATCAGATGCAATTGTGAAGCGAAGGCTTTTATATATTTGTCACAAAGCCATTGATGATAATTGCTTTTGACTGTGTTAGCAGTATCCTGCTGGTCATTGGCTTCCTGAGTGCACCACACCAACTGCTGCCACTACTGCCAGTGCTGCTGATTATGATGCTGAGAGCAACGGTGGTGATGTAGATAATGATGATGATTTAAAATAGATGACTCTAAGAAGCCAAGCTGACGACTCCTGGTGTGCTACTATAATGTGTCTCGGTTGCTAGCTTTCTACTGGAAGGTAGACCGCCAGACAAGCAAGTGACTTCCTGACATGCTTTATAATGTGACTGCGTTCACCTGATTTATATAACCTGATATATAAATACTTCTGTGGCGAGCAGGCCGGTGGTGTGATTACTAATGAGCGCCACCTGCACGAAGCACCGGTCTCGTATCTCTCAAGGAGGAGCGGAAGCATAAAAGGAGGAGTGACGACAGTGAAGGATAAGAGAGGCCAGGCCTGGACTATTTTATTTTATGTTTATGTTTTATTTTATGTGACAGCAGTCGTCCGTGAGGGGGTGCTGTCTTTTACTTTCGTTTTGTATTTGTTTATTTTATTATTAATGCTGTTGAATGTTCGCCGGTTCCCGCCTCCTTCTTCCGACAACATCTAACCTTGTTATATATATATATATATATATATATTGTGTAGACGGACATTTCCTACAAACACCAAATACTAACCCCACCAACATGTGGAGAAGCAGAGCGTACAGCTCAAATGCCACAAGATGCGATCAATCAGTATGCAAATTTCAGTAGGGATTATAAAGATCTTTACAGAAGTTGGAGCAGAACACTAGTGGCTGTTATCTTAGTGCAAACAGAAAGGAAAAAAAAAATCCCTCCCTCCATCTATTTGACTGAGAAAAGTCCCTGTAGGCAAACACTGAGGTGTTAATGGATTTTACCTTGGGATGTGGGAGGGCACTGTTGGCCATCATACACAGCAGTAGTGGGGCTGGGATTGATAAGGAAGGGTTGGCCTCTCTGTGGGTCGTCTGAGGGTTAGCTACCACACAAGGGAATTGCTCTTAGATGGACGATCAGGTTAAATGGCGATGTCTCAGTAGTATCTGTAGACTGTGTCCACTCGGAGACCCAAAGAGTAGGTCCACTGATTGGGGAGGCGTGACTGTTCTCACTGAGCTTATTGAAGGTGTTGGCAGTTGCCATGACAGCCAACTGAAGCAAACATATAATCTTTCCTCTGGAGACCACATAATATAGTTTTCTTTCTGTAAACTGGCATGAAAGTCTTCAACTAGCACTGTCACTCGTAACATTTTAAGACCACTGTGATACACCTAAAAACAAAAATAGTTTAAAGTAAAAACTCATCCAGTAAACCACTTTGGTGATAACTAAAGTTTTTATGAGCTTGGAATTAACCGTTGATGGGAGAAGGGGAATGGGATCAGGTGTGAGCCAGTAGCCATGTCACAAGCACAAATTCTACCCAGTACATCAAAGCTCAGACCAAAATATCATAATTAGTACAGTTATAGACCCCACAGTCTTAATACAGCAAAGGAAGCCACATCAAAAGCTATATTTATGTCACAAATATTTTTAATGTGGCATACATTTATGTAGTGTACACAAGAGCAAGAAAAAATCAATCATACGCTTGAAAATTCATACCAGTACAACTTTGTAAAACGCCAAATTTTTTAAATCACAGGCAAAATAAAAGAAAACCTCAGGTAAGATTAGGCTAGACTGACCATAATAACACAGTTTCCATGTTTTTGCAAACTTTCATGGATGATGTCACTTTCGAGCAAGGCCCAGTCTCATGGTTTGCGGTAAAGTCCTCTACTAATAACTATTTAATGAGGAACTATGCTACATTTTGCAACAATGCAACATGAACAGAGTAAGCAGTGAGCATCTGAATCCTGAGCAGCTGTGTTCGTCATTAAAGCCCCATGGCTAATGAAATCACTGAGGTAGGACTCACTGGTCATGCAGTAGTTAGCCTTGGAATGTGTCTACAACAGTTTCATACTCTATTAACATCAATGCACTTACTTCCTCATCACATGACTAGACATTTAAGGTCATGTGACATCCTAAAACACTAGAGTTAGAGAACAATACAATGAAAACTTCTGGAATCTATACGCTCGATATTAGCTGTGTATTATAAGGTACATTAGTGCTTATTTGCCTTCAAAGTATGCTCTCTATATATGCAGATATCTAAGGCAGCGTCCTACCACCAAGTGAGTGACATGCAACGCTCTATCAAGGCTCGAAATTGCGACCATTTTGGTAGTATTTGCTCCTGAAATTTAGTCTGTGCGACCTCAAAATATATTTGGGAGCATTTGAGCGAGTGTAAATAATTGTTGTGGTGCGACCTGTTTTCTAAAGATCAATCGTTACCGTAATCAGAACCGACCGTTTTCGCAAAGAGGAGAACAAAGACGCGCCAGCAGAGAAAATCCTGTAACAGGCACAGCAAGATCATTGTTCATCATGCTTGAAATATAGGAAGAAAAATCGAAACATTTAATTGGAGTTGGCAGTTTATATGAATGTATCTCCGAAAGGGAACTTACTGTCTTCAGAAAAGTTCCGATGGCATTTACTTTTCCTCTTATCTACGTATAAAGTCATGTTTATAAGCGCAGCGCTGCTTTGTATACAGCGGTACACAAAGAAACCGCTGCTTTGCAATAAGCGCCACCTACTGTCAGAGAGTGAATGCAGCAGTCCGTCTGCTGTTTTTGTCTTGCCCAGGTGTGTCTTAAATCCTATAATTAAATCAAATTGAAATAAAAAACAACTGCTCATGCTACATGTGAGTAGCTATGGAAGCTTTTTTCCGCCACTGAATAAAAAAAAAAATAATAATTGCGACTTTTTATCTCACAATTGCGAGATATGACGTCAGAATTGTGAGAAATAAAGTCGCAATTGCGAGATATAAAGTCGCAATTCTGAGAAATAAAGTCGCAATTGCGAGATATAAAGTCGCAATTCTGAGAAATAAAGTCGCAATTACGAGATATAAAGTCGCAATTCTGAGAAATAAAGTCGCAATTGCGAGATATAAAGTCGCAATTCTGAGAAATAAAGTCGCAATTACGAGATATAAAGTCGCAATTCTGAGAAATAAAGTCGCAATTGCGAGAAAAAAAGACAGAATTTTGTCTTTTTATCTCACAATTCTGACTTTTTTTCTCACAATTGCGAGTTTATATCTCGCAATTCTGACATCTTTTCTCAGAATTGTGAGATATAAACTTGCAATTGCGAGTTATCAGGCCAATTCGAAGGAAAAATAAAAGACTAAAAGACATTCTGTGGCGGAAACAAGCTTCCATAAGTAGCATCTTTGTTTGGATCATAATTAAAATGCAGTGGTACCTCTAATTTCACATGGCTACATATCTTTTTTGTTTAAGACATGCCACTAGTTAGGCATGTTATAGAGCAAATAACAAATACATTTGCTTTAAAAAAAGGCAACCAGTAGCAGAATAGGCCCATTTGCTTGTAAAAAACAAACAAACAAACTATCAAATCGATAATGTTCTACCCTAAAATACCTTAATTTATGCCCATATAGACTGACTTGACCCTGTTCTTCCAACCCTTTCATATAGAGTTTAATGACAATGATGCAGCAGTTAGCTCTTAAAGAATCTTCCAAGTGACTGACTACTCAACCACACCGCACACGCACAGCACTTTTTCAGGAGAGCATTTGGAAAATGTTTCACTTCCCACTCATCAAGTGACACCAAAAAGAAAGGAAACGAAAGGGGAAAATGTTTTAGGGGTTGTGCACACTCATTCACACATTCTAATGTTCTCTGGATAGATGACTATACTGTTACTAATATTAGAACATTACTAATACACAAATGTTAATAATACAAGATCACAGATTTTCTTATAAGATGCAGTATCTCCTTCATCATGGCACGTACTGCATCTTTGTGAAGCAAATGTATTGAGTAATTTGTACAATCAAAACCAGCAAATCAAAGATCAGTCTCAAATAGTATTTGTGTATTCAATATATAGAGAAATGAGTATTCAAGCAGTTATATTATAGGTTATATGTTTGAGAGTGTATTACCTCTTACATGTCCAACCAATACAAATACTGAATTGAGCTAAAGATAAATACGATTTTTTTTTCACTATAAATTATAGGGAATACACTATAATAAATTCCATTAAAAACAACAAATATTGTGTATATATAATGCTTAGTCGCTAAAAACAGCTTGTCTGATGTGTGGGTGCTTGTCACATAATAATGACAATTATCTATTAATTTCAAATGTTAATTATTTTAATTGAAACAGCATTATTTGCTGAGTGAAGCTGTCTGGAATGTTTCTGTTTTGGTGAATATGATATAGTGCATGAAAAACTAATTATAGGAGTATTTAAACAGTGGAGGGAGACACACCATGAAGTCATCCACGCACACAGGTTGTGAACAGAACCTGTACTGATGTTTGGAGGGGCTAATTTATAAATATATTTATAAATGTTGAGTGAAAATAGTTTGAAAACATAAACAAAACCTGTGGCATGTAAGCTCAGAAGCACGCTTCCTGTCATTTTGACACATATGACATCAGAGAGCCAGAATAAGCATGATGCGTGTGATATTCAAGAGAGTTTTGCAACAGGAATGAAAAGAAAGCAAGTAAGTAAGCAGGAGAGCAGTGGTACTCACCGCAGGCACGAGTAGCTTGTTAACCTCCTCCACTGCACGCTTGAGCTTGATCTCAGCCCGGTTCTGGGCGTCCTCCACCGTGATGAGCACATGGAGGTCCTCATTCAGATGCTCCCAGTTGGGTTTGCCTCGGTTCTGTTCCTCCTGGACAGAGAGGGGGGAAAGTTTTAGATGCACTGATACTGAGCACAATGTTGACTGCTAGAATCAAGAAAGTGCAGAAAGGGTTCAAATAATGTTGTTTCTTACGTAATAATTTTAAGACATTTTTGCAATATTTGCCTGCTGCTTGCGCAAAAGGTAACACTTTACTTGAAGGGGTGTGCATAAGACTGACATGACACCTTCATAACCATGACATGACACATGTTATGAATATGAAGGAAGTTTTATGCATGTCTATGACAACTGTCATTAAGTGTCATTCGCTCAATTATGAAATTTTTAATGCAAATATGACATTGTTTGAGATGTCTTTGTTATGACACCTTGACATAAACCAATACATCATAACCTGTCAGTGTCTTTGTCATGACAACTTGACATTACTAAGACAACACAACCTGTCATAAACATGACATAGCAGATTAATTATCAAACTTAAGAAACCACTTAGCTTTATTGGTTAACATTACATTAAACTGTCATGTGGTTGGTTTTGACATTGGCTGTCATGAAGCCATTATAACTGTTTAATGACAATTTCAATTTGTACCACTGTAGTTGAGGTCACAAAAAATATTCATGACACAGTTATAATGGCCCTATGACAGCCAATGTCAAAACCAACCACATGACAGTTCAACTTAATTTAATGTCAAGTTGTCATGACAAAGAGACTGACAGGTTATGATGTTTTGGTTTGTTGTCATAACAAAGACATCTCAAACAATGTCATATTTGCATTAAAAATGTCATAATTGAGCGAAAGACACTTAATGACACTTATCATAAACATGCAAAAACCCTCCTTCATATTCATGACATGTGTCATGTCATGGTTATGAAGGTGTCATGTCAGTCTTATGCACACCCCCTCAAGTAAAGTGTTACCATGCAAGAATATTTTTTTTTCTTTAGAATACTTGGTTACTTTTGAGTGGCTATTATTGGAGAAAGATGCTTTTTGCTCTTTCCTGGGTGATGAACTGTAGTTATGGCATCTACCAGCACTGGCTAACAGGACCATTGGTGTGTTTTTTGTCTTGAAACCAAACTTGGGTCTTCAGCCGAGAAAGTTTAAATCCCGTCTGGCTATAGCGCTCTTCCCATAATGTTTACGCATCCGTTCAGTAGGCGGAGAATAGGCGTCTTTTGTGGCTGTTTGAACACATTCGACCACATGAGCGAAGCAATCCGGTCGAATGCGTTTTCGACTAGAAGTGGTTGAAAGTGGACAAGCTCAAAACGTTTTAGACTCCATTTACACCTGTATTTAGCGTCGTCAACTTGTGATCTGATCGACGAAATTGCATCTTAATATCATGTGTAAACAGGGCCTGATAATTCCAAAAAGAAAAAGTGCACTTGAAATACTCGGATGATACACTTGATTAGCTGAAAGAAAGGCTTAATGACAAAATGTATAAAGTTCATACACTAGATGGTAGAGTACAGAGTGCGTAGTATAAGTGCATAGTGTATAGTGCGTCATTTGGGACATGATTCTTGGCCCCTTGGCAACAATGTATGTTTTCACTGGAAATACAGTATATGTGTGTTTGGATATGATGAAGTTCAAGAAGGAACTTGGGGCCTGTCTCACCTCCCACTCTTGCTGTCGGGTTTGAAACCTTGATACACCAAAGTGCAACAGCAAATCTAATAAAAACACAGACTACAACAGAAAGGGATGTGAAAGTAAAAATAAAACGGAGAAGCTGCTACTTTGTTTTACTGTGCTCTACCAAAGCAGAAGTCAGGATGCCATGTATATGTCATCCTGTGAGATGCGTCTCTAAAAAAGTAAAATTCATACAGTCTCCAGACAGGCAGTGACAAAAGCTTCACAGCTAGCAGAGAGAGGCAACAACAGCATGAGCGACAAATCAAAACTAGTTCTTCTAGCTCAGCAGTGCTCACAGTTTTTTTTAAATATGCTTTTAACTTAGCTTAATATACAGAGTCAAATATAAGTACGCCATTTGTAGAATGATTTAGCTGAAAAACATACACATTGTGGCTCTGAGGCACTTTCAAAACATTGGGGTTTGTTTGAGAATCTAGACCAGCACACAGCAACAGCAGCTTAACCAATGGAGTGAGTTGGGGGCGTGGCTATCTGTTTAGTCAGACCAATGGCAGATGAGAAGCAGTAGAAGTGTTTTGGAAACCTGGGGCACGTTTAAGTTCAAAACGGTGCGCAACGTTTTGCTACGGTTTCCGGGTTGAACGTCATGTTTCGTGGAAACGGCGTGCACCGGTGTGCACCGGGGTTTGAGATGCGTTTTCTCTTGTTTGGTGGGCGTGTCAGAACTGCAGTCCAATCAGCAGCAACATGTATATAAAGCACGCGGTATTAAAGTGAACTCGCACAATGGGTTCAAGGAAAGTCATTTACAAATGTGTTCGATGCAGCTCGGTATACGCAACAACTGAGGATATTAGAAGACATGTTTGTCGTAAGTTTTATTGTCAAAATATAGGATATCAACATAATGATGTAGTTGTTTATATTTTTAGCTTCATTGCAAGTGTATGACATTTGGTATAGAAATAAACAATGGTAATTAAGTGCTTTTCCTAAAAATGAGAAAGAAAATACAGGGTATTAAACCAGTATAAACTACAAATAAAGTCAGTATGTGAGGCTAAATAGATGTGCTTTAGTCTGAATTAGGTAAGATGTGCTTCCATTACAGTTTTCACAAATCCCTTCACTCGACTGGGATGTTCTCTTGTGTTCTGGGCGGCAAGTGCAGTAACTGTAACATCGGGCATATTTTGTAGTATTAATAAACAGATATTTATACCGACTTCATCAGGCTCCGAAAATTCTTCACAAAGAACACGAAGAATGGCCTTCTCAGCTGCCATAGTTGCAACTCTTGCGTCATCCTAACAGTGTGTTCAACGCATCACCGTTTCTGTTTAAAAAACGTTGTGCAACGTTTTGTCGGGGCTGAACGCAGCCCTGTTTGGAAACATTAGTAGGGTCAGTATGCGATCGCCTAGAAAGCATGTAGTAACATAATAGCAACCCCTCACAACACCTAATAGCAACTGCATAATAAAGCCCTGGAAACCCTAGCATTATGGTGACGAATTTGGACAGTCAAGTATCACTCACATTTTCTTCAGACAATAATATGCAGTTTTGTCTGGTGCAGCTAGTGGAGCAGAAATATAAGGACTTTAAAAACTAAATTGTATGACAGAAACTTTTGGTTAAAAGGCGTTGAAGATTGCTGAGGGCAAACTGCTTAATTGATAGAAACCCAGCACACATTAAGTTGAAGGGGCTCGTTACACTTTTCCTACACTGCCGCTTTTGTTTGTCTGCATTTGGCTTGATTTGCCGTTTCTCTAATTTTCATGTAGGATTTCACAAGAGAGAAAAAAAACCAAGATCTGATTTATGCAATAATCAGATATGCAAACAGAGCTCGTTTTTTCTCCCCGTGACTGCAAATGGGAAGTTGATGGCAATCAGCATCTGCGTCTATGTTCCCGCGTTCTGCCTGCTGGTTTTCATTAAGGATCCATTGTTGCCCCTTTCAGTGCGAAGTAACGAAGGGGAGAAAACAGGGGTGCGTATCGCCCAACACACTCATGATTTATCATTCAGGACGTTGGTGTTTGGGTGTTATGAGGTCACTTCCTTTTTCTTTTTTGTTCGGCCTCTTGGTTTCGCTTGGCTTATTTACTTGGCTTTTCTTAGTTGTGACAAGTGCTAAAAATTGATCTTCTGAGGCTGATTGTCACACACCCACAGCCACGCTGTCAATAACACTGGGCAGAGACAGCCAGAAGGGACTGCGTGTGTATGCATGTAGTGTCAGTCTATCTGAGGGTAAGAGACACTTGTTTTTCCCGCAGTGACAGGCTGGTAGCCCAGGTGACGCTCCTTCAACGTCCGAGGAAATATGTCCAACTGCGAGGCCCTCGACTAGGCCTTTGTTTACACCTCTCTCCCCTCGTGCGCTAAAGCGTAATCAATGTCCATAAATCCATTGTCCTGCTCTTTTGTAATCCTTCCCGAGGCAATAAAGCCTCTCTGAAGGAGCGCCGACCCCTCGGTGGAAGGCTCTGGGAACTAATATCACGGCTGGGGTGGGAGAGGACGATGAGTAAGGGGGGGTGTAATGAGGTATATTTCACCACAGTGACCATGTTTACATGCAAATCATTCTCTGATTAAGGTAATATATATAATATATATTCTGGTTCACCCTTTAAAGGGTTAGTTCACCCAAAAATGAAAGCTCTGTCAGTAATTACTCTCCCTCATGTTGTTCCAACCCCGTAAGACTTTCGTTCATCTTCGGAACACAAATGAAGATATTTTTGATTAAATCTGAGAGCTGGATCACTCCTCCATAGGCTTCTTAAGGGATCGAAACTGGCCGGCCCAAAAGTTATGAAAGACATCGTTAAAATAGTCCGAGTGACTACAGTGGCTCAATCTTAAGTTTATCAAGCGACGAGAATACTTTTTGTGCGCAAAAAAACAAACAAAAATAACGACTTTATTCAACTAATCATTTCCTTCTCTGTACAGCCGTGATATTTCACGTAGTGGAACTGCGCAAAGCTTCTAGGTTGCACGTCACACTCAGGCTCACTATTGTCCGACGCTGGTCATGTGTGTGATAGACAGAATTTTCATTTTTGGGTGAACTAACCCTTTAAGGTTGCTCTTGGGACTTCAATTCAGTGTTAGTAGTACACTAATTTACATCACAGTAGTTCACAGTAATTGAATCAACTCATTTATTCTCATTCATGTCCTTGACAACAGCACAAAAAAATGGCTTTCAGCCATCTGTATATTGATTCATGTTCATTTCTTTAAAGGCTGAAATGTGTAATTGTGTTGATGTTTAAACATTCTCATATTACGGCTTAATGTGTAGTGACAGCTATAAGTAAACAATTTGTATGTTGATTTCCATGAACACTGTGACTCTTCAAAACATTGCTTT